ATAATATATATATATATTGAGAGAGAGAGAGAAGTGTGTGTGCTTGGGGTGCTGGCCTGGGTGTCCTAGGCTGATTCGACTGCATCGGACCTCCCAGAAAGCTCCTTCGAAACGCCCATAGGGAGGTTGAAGCGATTGCAGGGGGAAGTGGAGGAGATGCTGGACTTCGTTTCTTCTTTTCTGGTGGAGGAGAGAGTGCCGGCATCGGACAGGTTCGAAGTGCAGTTGGCCAGCCACCAAACAGCAGATATACGAGAAGAGAAAGGCGAATCTAATAAAGCAAAGCACTTGGGAATCCACCATGTGCACTATCACACCCGCCGCCTCCCTCCCGCTGCTCAGGAGGCTCTTTTCTTTGGCTGTGATCCTTTGTCCCTCATAGAAGAACTCAAGAAGCTGCGCATGCAAGTAAGGCGTTTTGGAGGCAGAGTTGTTATCAAACTTGGGCAACGTCCTGTTGTACGAGTATGACTTTGTTTATTTAGTGACGGCCCCTTTGATGTCACGAGCTAGTCTCATAATCTCAGTTCTGCCCAACAGGGTGTTTCCTTCCATAAACCACAACCGCTGCATGCTCGTCAGTTGTGTGGTTGTTCTTGCCGCATATGGGTTTCATTCATTTGCCTTCGATTTTGATTTTTGTCTGGGGTGCGAGGTTGCTAGTGTGCTGAGCGATAAGAGAACAGAGGCGCTCGTGTCGCACGTCGAACCTGTTACTGGCATGCGTTCTGGAGCAGCCCTACTGCAAAAGCATCTCGCTGCAGCTACTGCAGAGCTGCGCTGGAAGCTTGCCAGTCAAGGAAGGGAGGCCACATCGTCCTTCAGTGCTTCGCGTGAGTGTCTGTTTAGGGTCTGTAGTGGTGCGCAAGAGAATACCTCTACCACCACCAGCAGCTGAAGGCAGGTAACACGGGGGTTCCGGGTTGCTGGAGGGTCTGCGTGCAGCAAGGAATGCTGGGAGTCCAGCGGTAACCATGACTGCCATCCCCAGCGAGACGGTTGCCAGTAGACGAGGTGAAGGGCGCAAGACAGCTGCAACCACAGCCTATGAAGTATATTGCGTGCCTTCCCTCTCCCCCATGGTGGAGCAGAGCCGCATCACTTCCCTAGAGCGGCGGCTGGCTTTTGTGGAGAACAAAATAGGCCTCCAGAAGATGAGTCTGCTTCCACATGCAGACCTCTTTGAGGCGGTATCCGAAATGCAAGAGCGCATGAAGCTGCTAGATCAACAGAAGATAGAAAGTCTTCAAAAGCGTGTTCAGGCAAGTCAGAGACAGATACTGATAGGGATATTAATATGCCGGTCGTAGAGCCAACAGTTCCATATGTTGGCAGCTAAGTGGAGGTTTGGGCCTCCAGGGCACACTTTTGAAACAACACAGAAGCACACATATGTGGAGGCAGTAGATGTTCATATGTAGGCAGAAAGGGCAGACCCACTGGATACTGCCCCTGCTTGCAGGCTTTGCTGCTAGAGTTGCATGCCCTCCAGCAGCGTCGTCACGAGTTAGATATGGCTGCGGAGGGTCTAGGGGTCTCTTCCGGTGCTACCAGGATGGAGCCAGCGAAGGGGATACCAAGTGGATCTGCCACTTCGAGTGACTGGCAGCGCATTGAAGAGTTGTATGACATTTGTGAGAGGTGGAAGGCTCCAGCGGCCCTCCTGCCGTCTGTATTGCAAAGACTCAAGTTGCTCAAGGGGATTCACCAGGAAGCCGGCGGAGTGGCCGTCCGTCTGTCTGGTGAGTCAGTGCCCACGTAGGTCGACTGACGAAAGCGACATGCTTGAGATACATCATTTGGAAGCATATGACTATGATAAACTCGATGTAAACTCTTTACGGCGAACTCCTCAAGTGGCAATCTACCGTAAATGTGAAGTGCTCATAATGCTGTGTAATTTGCAAAACAGACACTTTCCTAGCGGCATTTGATCAATGGATGGGAGATCAGCAGTGCCACTGCTGGTAACACGTCGAAATTAACGGCCTTCTGCAGTATGCTGTGACGGCTAGTAACACAACATGTGTTTGTCTCGTGCAGTGTTGGAGAAACAGCAGGAGGAGCTGCAGGCCTGGGTCCGGCGGGCAGACGATGCCGTCACCCAGTTGCAGAAGACTGTCCTAGACAGCGTTGGGTGGGCGCAAAAAACCGTTGCACAGATGCAGCAGCGGCTGGCCGCTGAGGAGGCGCCAGGGGAAGCTGACAGTTGAGGCAGGAGCGAGGGCTTGCCTTCCTCGTACCACCACCTCGGTACGCAGGATCACTTGGGGGTTGCTTCATCCCTCGTGCAGTCATGAGAGCCCGACTAGCTATCTCTGGCCTTCATGACTTTGGGTGGGCCTTTGTGCGATGCTACTTGTGGTTTCGTTTCGGGAGAACTTCTTGAGCAGTGTCGCAACCATTGTTTGGAAGCCGAATGCGCACACTGCCTCACAGCTTGTCGCACTAAGCAACGAGCTCCAGTGGCTTTGCCCAAAGCGTCATGCGGCCTTTGAAGCTCAGCGGGATGTCCTGCGCTACATAGACGTATAGATGCCGAGCACGGCAACTTCACACTGTACTAATGAGTCTCGGCTACTGCTTGGACTGCTGCCTGGATGTAGTGAAGCCTCATTTGGGCTAGAAGTTCTCACTACTGCCCTATACATGCAACCCCGGGAGGGGCAGGCGTTTGGTTACTGGCTGTTCCCTACAGGTCCGGGGAGCTCCGAGCGAAGCGTGAAAGGCAGAGAGTGGAATGAGGTCTCTATAGCCTCACGAATAACTGGTTGGGTCGTCTGTGGTTCCTTGAGGTCCATCTGCTGCAGAGGGTGATTGGTGAACCTTTCCTGGGCTTCGCTCGACCGTAGAGAGGTGGTAGGCAAGAACCCTAGCCTCTGTCTGGGATGAATATCGGTACTGCAGCAGCAAACACCTGCCCGCGCAGTTCAGACGTCGTGCCTTGCGCACAAAGTCAATCGAGTGGCTCCTGCCGAGCACACGCCCCTCTAGAGTAAGCTCTAGGGCGGCCTCTAGATCGAACGGATCCTCAGAGAGAAGCACATCTTCACCGCCGTGTTCACTGCATGGACCTCCTGCGCTACTTCGGGGTGCCCCCGTGGGGCCGCTTACAGTAAGCAGCGGCTGCAACTGCGATGCCAAGTACCGCAGCACCAGTTGTACGGACATGCGGCTGGGTACACGTAAGTACGGGCGGTCTATGTGCGGAAGCTTTAGCGGCAGCCCCAAAAGGTCCTGTGGCTCTTGGGGACCCCCAATGCCAATTTGAGAGCCCTCCAATGGGGCGTGAGAGAGTTGAAGGGCTTGGTACTGCATTCGAGCCTCCATCAGCTGTCCCTGGTATGTATCTGGTAGCAAAGCAATGGCTATTGTTTGCTGCTCATCAAAGCAGGTTGTAGAACCTAGCAGCTGGTCAACAAACTCGTCGAGCGACTGCTGAAGCTGCGCTTGCTGCTGCTGCTGGGATCGTGAAATAGTCCTGCTGCGCAGGCCCTCCCTCTGTTCCCTGTGTCCCTCGTCACGAGAAACATCGTCCGTCTGCTGCTGCTGCTGGGGTTCTGGCGCCATGGGAGGTTCTAGTGGATGAGGACCAAGCGCCTCCTCTGTGGCAGCTCTTGCCTCCAGGCGAGCTCGCCGTTGAGAGATGGCCTCGCGCCTGAGGGAGCGAGCTAAGGAGAGGCCGCCTGCGAGGTATTCGGGTGGCAACTGCTTGTGCTGGTGCTGTTGCATATACCGCTGCAGCTCCTCCTCCTCCAGGCGTTCCTGCTGCGCAAAGTGAGGGAACAATTTGTCCACTACGTTTTGCATGGTGCGGTCAAACAGAACTGCAGCGTTTGCTGCGGCTGCTGTTCCCGAGGAAACGCTGCTGTTGCCGCTGAGGTTCACCACGCTCCCCGCGCCCGCCACGCAAGCTGCTGTTATCCGCGGCATGTAATGTCTAGAGTCTTTACCTGCCCCTGCACAGCACCCGAAAAAAACTAAACCCACAGTGCCATGTCAAACTGCTTAGAGGGGTTTTGACGCCGTATGCTGAAGGATGAGCAGCACATGGCGACACTCGGCCGCCTAACGTGCATGAACATTGACACAGTGTTAGCCAAGACTCACCATCTCTATGCGGAGTCATCAGCTGCATGTTTCGCTCACAGTAGGGGCAGCACACCTCTTCTGTTTCTCCGCCCTCAGCGTAGTCGTACAGACACCAGCGGCAGAACGTGTGGAGGCACTCCTTGATGGTAACGGCATCTCGGAAGTAGCCGCTGCACAAGGGGCATCGAAACATCTTTTCCACAGCTTTCAGAGGAAATGATACGTCGAGGCCCTCGTCACCTTCAAACGCAATGCACTGTTCCCCATCTGAGTCTTCCTCTGACTGAGCAGCGGCAGGCGCAGGCGCCCGCTGCATGGCTCCCCAAACCCGCCCTCTTTTCTGGCGCTTGGGCGCCTCTTCAGACACTGGAACATATGCATCGCTTGAAAGAGGAGCTGGTGAGGCTGCGGCGTCCGTTGCAGGCCAAGCAGGCCGGGTCGTGGGCCGCGGCGGTCTCTGCATTCGATGAGGGCGTTAGGCTCTAACCACAGAAGCTGCTTACACCTCACCTTGCGGACAGAATCACCTCGAAAATACGGCATAGGGGGACAAGTTCCTCCCTGGTCTCTCCAAGCAGCAATAAAAGGGAAGTACAATGGAAAGGAAGTACAATGGTAGGTTGAGAGCGCTGGGCTGATGGCTTCGGTCTCAACTACCCGTTGCCAATTGAATTTAAGTTTAGCCAGTCAGATGCTGCGTTTTAAGCGGAAGGGAGAAGAAGAGGTGAAAACGCACAGCACCCTCAGAGGCCTGAGAGTTGGATGGATCGCATGTTAGACGTCGCTAGAAACTGGAGCTATTAGCTTCTAATGCCATTTCTAAACATGTTTCCCAATGAAAAGTGGGGAAACCACATTTTATATCTTTCCGTTCCTGGCTCTAGCTAACGACGGATAATCCCAGGGCTGTTGTTGGACGTTCGGGGGGGCCCAGTGGGGGGGCCCCGGTGGGGCCCCCAGGCTATCATGCATTAGGTAACTCCCTCAGCAGTCGCTCTTTTTATTACTTCTCATCTACTGTTTTGTTTGTGGCTCATAGTGGTGGGCCTTCCTGTCGCTGCTGTGCTGTGCAGACGGCTTCCCTACAGCCCAGGTGCTGTAGGAGTGGACATCTGAAGGTTTGAAGACGTCCTGAGAATGTGGAAATTTCTGCTGTATACACAACAGACGATTGTTGACTGGAGTGGCAGCATCCATAGCCTTGCCCCAGCGCTTCTACCTTCCCTGCGAAAGCAAACCCTACGATGACCACCTGTTGAAGGGGCCGTGCGCATATGCAATCTCTGCTCTTCTTCGCACTGTCCGTCCCTATAGCCTGAAGAGTAAGCTCACAGGCGCCTTCATATTTAGCCTTTGCACCCACGGACAGGGGGCCCCATCAGGGCTGTAAGACACCTCCATTATTATTATATGGGTATAGAGGGACTGCAGCAGAAGGAAGTATAAATATATTCAATAAAAGTATTCCTGCTGCTGCTGCTGCTGCAGTTGTTGCTGCTGCTGCAGTTATACAGCTCGACGAAGAAGAGCTCCTTCTGTATCTTGAGGTCCTCATCTTCTTCTTTCTTCTTTTCTTCCTTTTTCCCGCTACTTGCTCCTCCCCTGTTGTACGTACAGCAGTGAACAACCATGAATTCAACGCCACCTATCCAAGGTCCGACGCAGCAGCAGCAGCAGATGCTACTGCTGCAGCAACAGCCACAGGCAGGGCAGCAGCAACTCGGGCAGCAGGTAATGCAGCAGCAAATTCCACAGCAGCAACACCCATTAATATCGCCCCATGGACATCACCCAGCTCTGCAGCAGTCGATGCTGCAGCATCCCCAACAACTTACTGCGCATCAGCAGCAGCAGCCTCAGATGCAGCAACAGCTGCAGCAGCAGTTGCTGCAGCAGCAGCAGCAGGCACGTTTAAGCTCTCTTCATGGAATATCACAGCAGCCTTTCACCCTTCATCCCCAATCTATGCCCATGCAACACTTGCAGCAACAACAATTCATGAGGCGTCCTCCCGTACAGCAGCAACTAGCGCAGCAAACACCAATGCAGTTGACGCAGTCTCTGCAGCACCAGCAGCAGCTCCACCTGCAGCAGCACGCGATGTCCAATTCACAACGCCACTTTCTACCGCAGCAGCAGCTTCAATCCGGGCAACAGCAGCATGGTCAGCAGCAAGGATGTCTACAGCAGCCACCTCAGGTAGGCCCCCATCAGTTGCAGCAGCAACAAATGCAGCAGCTGCACGCACAGCATGCGTTCCTGCAGCAGCAGCATGCGCAACATGGGGATGGAGGTTCCCTGTCGCACATGGGGACGCCGAAGGGTGGAAACAGCAGCAGCAGTGCAGCAACTGGCTCGGGCATGCTGGCAGTGCCTCAGTTGGGACCTCGTCCCTTTTCTGGGCGTTTGGCCCAGCATGAATTCCATAGGGGTGGGGGGCCCCCTTCCACTATTATTCTTGCAGCAGCTCCTATGGAGGCTGTGCAGATCGCAGCGCGACCCGGAAGCTCCTCCACCGTTGCAGATTTAGTGCGGGAAGCGATGGAGGCGGCGGAGGCGGCGGAGGCAACTGAAGCAGAGACGGACTTCTATGGCGCAGCGAGAGAGTCAGAGCATGGATTTTCAGTTCATGACCTCTTGGATTTCACCGAAGACAGTGAGGGCCCCTGAGAGGCACACACAGGAGCGCTGCAAGGGGATTCCAATAGACAGCAAATCTTCATTCTAGCATAGCTTTCCCGCCTCTTCGTTCGGGGCCTTGTGAGAAAGAGCGGATTCTCCGCACTTGCATTTGCTCTTAAAGTCTGTTTGTGAGACCTTGTTAAGGGCGTCTGAGATGGTGCATGCCTGGCAAGGGTGTGTATTACATTTATTTTTATCATGGCTCCCTATCTTTACTTGTCTGCTCTCTTGTGTCGCCTTCTGCAGTTGCTGCCCTCATGGAAGCCTTTATGAATCCCGAACTTGCTGTGGCCGCAGAGGCGTTAGAGCTGATGGTGCAACTGTCTCTTGACTTCATTGACGATCTCGTAAGCCAGGCCTCGCCTTCCATGGATCGCCGTTTCTTCCTCTGGCTAAGAATACTTTAGACAGTGCGGAATGGGAGGCAGGGCCTGCAGTAACTCCACACTTCTTTGTGGAGCGTCTGCAGGCCGTACCTACCTGTAGCTGGTGAAATGCAGGTTTGCTGAGGTCAGCAGCCAACACCTACGAGGTGTTCATGTACTAGGAACTGTGTGCGCGGTTGCACGGCTTTGGGTGTACCTACTCTTATGTTGTGCATGAGTAAAGTGTTGAATCTGTGCGGGTCGTACTTGTGGTGTCTGGCCAGGTGGAGAAGGGTGTAGAGCATCGTCGACAGCAACAAGACGGGGAGCGCAGGCCTCGAGGTTCCCGGCGGCGACAGCCGCAGTTACTTGCAGAGGATCTGTTGGCTGGCCTCCGTACGCATCCGCGTAAGGTTCTGAGGTGCAAAGAGGCCCTTGAAAACTACAGACAGCTAGAGGAGTTTAAGCTCGCCTTCCCAGAAGACAGATATCTCTCTGCACCGCCTGCCCAAGGGCAGGCCCAGCCCCCTCTCTCCCCGCCAGGGAGCTCAACACCAACTGGCCCCCAGCAATCGGGACCCAACGGCCCTTCGGGCCAAAACCCTCTTCAGGATACGCCGGCAGCGCCACATCCCCAGGGACCTACCACCCCACTCGACAACCTATCGGGGAGGCAAAGGGCAGCTGGTACTGTTTCTGCGCACAGCGTGGACCCCCGTAGCCTCATGTCGAGCCCCACACTTCGGACGCAGCAACGCGATCATGCAACGTTCGAGAGCCGCTCTCGACCTACCCCGCCAGCCCTAAGCGGTTTGCCAATGAACTCTTAAGAATAGCTATATTAGGTTGGTGGTGCTAAAGAAGGCCAGAAAAAGCAAGTAGGGGAAGTGGGGGCCGCCGACTGTGCTAAGGCATTAGAGCGCTCGCCCTCATGTTACAGACCACGCCCTGGTCCATTTTTTGATTCAGTGGGATCATACATTCGGATTGCGACTTCAAGCTAGTCACTCTCTGCTCACTCTAAACGAGAACAGCCTACTTTACCTCGTAGAGGTAGGTAGTTGAGAGCGTACAGCCTCATGGGAACTGTCTCACATCAAGAGCTCTGGGTCTCAAGAAACGCAGCCTCAAATGAGTCAGAAGAATTCACCTTGGCAACAGGTGCAACACATTGCATGTAACAGGGGCATTTTACCATGTAGCAGTGTGTTCCCAAACGCCAGTGGGAAGGCGTCCCAAGGGGTTTTTCCGTACTCCGTCACTAGACCCGCATTGACAGGAAGTACGAGAAGAGGGTTGTCCTCTTCAGTCCGTAATATGTAGCCTGAAGGTGGCAACAGAGCCCACCGAAGCAGTGACAAGCTTCAGAATTAGCAACAGTTCTGGGTTAAATGCACAGTTTCAGAGTGCTTCATGGAATTAGAGAAGCGGAATCCCTACACGCCTCGCTTAGGTGAACGCTTCTCTATGGATCTCTCCGATGGAAGCGAGATGAAGGGGAGAGGGTGGCGGTGTACGGCCACTTGTGGGGGAGATCTGGATCACAAAGTGAAATGTTTCAAAATAACAATCCAAATTAACATGCGGCAGTGCGGCCGTTGCCGACACTTTAACTCCCCCTTACATAGCACGTGGAACGCCAGGACAAAGCCAAGAGTATCTTCTGCATAGTCCTTTTCTGGGGAATATTAACCGTGGAGACATCTGAATTTCCAACAGAAACACAAAGCAGAGGACAGTTTAAGTGCTTTCCTCCCCAACACGAAATTTTTGCTGGTTTACGCAAGAAAATGAACGCCAGCTGTTGCCGATTTAGCTCAGTCGGTAGAGCGCCAGCCTTTTAAGCTGGTGGTCGCGGGTTCGAGCCCCGTAGTCGGCTGTTCTTCGTTTTTTTGCCTCATCATTAATTGTCTACCTTTGGATATTAAAGTACCTCAAGTAGCGCATGCTATAATTGATGTCCTTGCCGTGCACAAATACTGTTAATGCTAATTTCATTCGCATATTTTTTCTTGCCTGGAGTGCTGGTACACTTGCCGGACAGCAGAATCCCAGAGTCCGTGACACGAGTTACGAAACTGGGCCGGAATTCTGCGTGCTAAAGGGAAGATTGTATCATTAGTCTATTTTTACCACTGGATAGGTGCAACAGTGGGCAAATAGCATCGGGACGGGAAGTGAAGCATCGCGCAAAGCAGTCAAAGGGGCATTCGTCCCTATGCTTGCCAGATCCCGTTGAAACCCCTTGCCCTTGGAGTGGTGAGAGGTTCTGTGAGGTCAGTTGTGTTGATGAGCAGACACGGAAGGCACGACCGAGAACCTCTGCCGTCCTTCCAGATGGGGCTGGGGGTCTGCGAGCGCGGCTGTGTCCAAAGCAAAACGTGCCAGTCATACTCACCAGAAGGAGGGGAGGAAACGGAAGGAACCTCACGAGATCCTATAGATACGCTGCATCGTTCCCTAGACTCTTCGGCCCAATTGACCCAGCAACAGCAGCAACAACAACAGCAGCAAGAGCAGCTCAGCGTAACTACCCAGGTGGACCTGTCTCAGAAGGGGGTGGAAGATATCGCGGAGCTTTGTATGCAAGTTATCCTTAAGCACGAGGCCGAGGTAACCAATAGCTTTCCATCGGCTTTACTGAAGAGTGTGATAAACGCAAATTATGTCGCTACAAGTGCCTCTGGTTGCCATGTGAACCATCTGCTAGCAAATGGCTCTCACGCGGATCCAGAAGATGGCACAGAGAGCCATCTTAGCCCTCCCTGCAGCGAATCAGCGCCCATTGCTGCCTGTGGGGAATTTGCCCCTGCATTTATTGAGCCACTGCAGGCCAGCAGTGCAGCAAGCAACGATGAAGCCCCGCAAGATCCCTCTGTGACAGAGCAGGTCAGCAAAGCAGAACCAGGGTTTGTTGAGGCTGGCTAAGACAGTAGACTGAGCGCGCGTATATGCCTCATCGCAAGCAGAACTGTTGTGCCCGTCCCAGAGCCTTCAGCCACAGCAGTCCCCAGCGATGTTTTCGCTTGGCCAAGCTTATGTTGCATTACCCAGTTGAAAACTGGGCCTTCTTCTTTGCAGGATCTAGATATATACACAATGCGCACGATCACTGTTCTGCTGCTTGCTGGGCCATATCCAGTTCGTGTGGACGACGTTCGACGCTGCTGGATGGCCCTCCCTGTGCAGCTCAGAAAGCGGAATTTCACTGCGTTGGTTCTCGGTTAGCGATGCACCCTTCATGTTGCCTCTGGCACACGAGTTTGCACCAGTGCTGTCTTGAAGCCAAAAGCATCCCTTTCGTCTCTGTACCCCTGGTATTTCCTCTCAACTGACAAACATATGCTAGTTGGGTTTGGTAATTTTCTGTTTGGATGCTCTCACTTTTGTACATAGCTGTCCACTGACCATTCTAGCGGTGGAGTGGCAACCTTTGGTGTGATCATTTTAGCTCCACACCATAATCGAACATATGAGTGTGTGTGCATAATCGAACATATAATGGAATATATGAGTGTGTGTGTGTGTGTGTGTGTGTGTGCACACACACATTTCCATGTATCTGTACATGTAAGTGGGTCGGGTTTTCGCCTTTTCAAGTTGTTACTGCGGTCAAGTTGTTACTGCGGCTCCGAAGGAGGGGCGTAACTGTTCCCGACCCAGTGGTAGCAGGCTTGGGTGCTTCGGGTGGCCGTCCGTGGTGCTTCTTGCGCAGGTCGCACGGCAGCAATAGCAGCCTCTTGCTTCGGCCTTCAGCTCCTTTCTTTCCAAGTGAAAGGTACAGGTTGTCAGACCGTGCTTATTCGTGCCCGCTAAGCAGCTATGCAATCCCTTAAATAGGTCATTGTCTCTGGTCCCCGCTTCCTTGTTTGGCTGTCCAAGTGCTTCACTCCAGATTAACGTGCTGCAGGAACCAAGTATGCCGTATTTACTCAAGGACTTCGTTCCGGACCTCACCTTCAGCTTATTCGCTCCCGCCGTAAGCCTGCACCTTGTCAAAAACACAACACATACGGCACGCCATCACGCAGCCTTTTCTCATGTCTCCGTCGGAGTCTGTTTTCGTTCTGCGTTGCATCTGCTGCTGGAGGACGGCTTGCCCGACTGCCATCTGTCAGAATGGCAGCATAGGGGTTCTTGAAGGACGCACTTGTCGACCACCTGAGTGGTTGTGTAGCTAGAGAATAGGGTATTGCCAAGGGGAGGTTTCGAAGCATACATATCTCGCTTGGTTGTCTAGCTCATTTTGTACACACATGTACACACATGGGAAGCACCAAAGTCTTAGGTTTCACTTTTTGTATGCTCAATGGACCCCGATTGAGGGAAATAACTGGCTGATTTCCACAGTGGGGAAGTGGCACTGACAGAGAGGGAGAAGAGTCCGTCATTCTTTCGTCTCTCCGGCTGAGAGCGGCAGACTCGCCTGTATGAACGCCTCCAATTCAGCACTTCGTGCTGGCACATCTGCGCATTTCGTAAATATACAGCAAGCATGTGCCTTCGTGTGCTAGCTTCCCCCTCGTACTGACTTCCCTGTGTTTATTTGCTTGATCCTCTCTCGATCCTCTCTTGTGTGCTGGTTCTTGCCTTGACCTGGTTGCAATTTCCCGTCTGTTCTGCGGTGCAGGCGACGAGGAGATCCGGGGGTTTCTGCTTTTTCTCAGCCTGCAGTTTGTGTCGTTTCAGGCTGAGTTGCCTCTAGAGACTGTTAAGGCTAGCATACGCCTTGTGGGTCGGCAAGATCTCCTGCAAGGCTTTGACGGTGGGGTCGCTTTTGTTAGCTCCGCAAATTCTACACTTTGCTGGAGGCACAGTGTGCCAGTCTTCTTCCCCAGTTTGCACAATTCACTTCAATCAATTGCAAACCCTGATGCCAGATTATCTGCAAGAAAATCCTTCCTTACGATTTAGGGTGCCTTCCCTCATGAGCTGTTCCTCTGCATGTCGTACAGAGGCTTCCCTGCTCAAGGCAGTTCATTTCAGAGAGCCGTCTCACAGTAAGCAATCAAAAGTGTTGCGCACCGCTCTCTCTTCTCTACTGCGGATGCTCCAGCCTTGCTCACCATCTGGGCTCCTACCCTCTCTCCTCGTAGCAGACACTGAGTATGCAGGCTGCGCCGCGCAGCAGTGGGCCTTCCCCGCTTAATCGTGTTGCATGGGCTGTTCTATGTTGCATGCACAGAGCTCGAGTCTCTAGGGGATTTTCTATCCGAGTGCGAGTGTCTGAAGTACATCATGATAATGCGGAGGCCGTCAGCGGCTAGCGAGGGAGCGGGAGTGAGTTTGCGCACAAAGCTACGTGATCTTTGGGCCCGCATCAGCATGAATTTTCTAGTACCCACTTCTTTGGTACAGTGGTTGTGTATGCGGCTGTGTGCATTCACGGTGCTTTTGCATCTGTCTGCGTGCGCATGCATATAGAACTTGAAGTGTATCGCTGTGTGTGCGTGCCTGCGTTGGGCGTGTAGGAGACCCTCTGCATAGTCCCTACAGACAGGCTCTTGCAAGAGCTGAAGCTTGATAGTTTTCGCAGCGAGTGCAAGGCCACGTTCGGAGTTGAGCTCCCAGACACTCGCATGCATACGACGGACAGAGAGGAGGTGGATGGAGGGGCTGCTAACCCAGGAACATAGGGTTGAGTTCCTGACCAAGGGAGCCTCCCCGTTTAGCAGCAGGCGGTGTTTATGCCTTTTCGTCATTATGTATCTCTATCATGTAAACACGTACCGGCATATGCGGTCCTTATGTTTCATAACGGCACGGTGAATGGCTGGAAAACAAATTTTACAAATTTTCCTATCCCGATCTAGCCTACTACCCTACTACCCTACTGATTTGAAGACTTTAGCAGATGCCTACCTAACTACGCATCCACCACCGTTCCGCAGGCAGAGAATGTACATGCATTTGAAGTTCTGTGCATGAGTGATGCTACAGTCTCTATTTATGGAGTCTTCAGCCCTTGCTGCACTACTTCGTGCCCCAATTAAACTGGCCTGTACATGTGCATTCTCCCAGTAGCAAAATCGTATCATCAGCTAGCTATGTGCCGCCCTTTCATTTCGGTCGGCCGCGTAACTGGTGACTCAAAATATTTCATTCAATCCATTATCTGTGCTAGTGGTAGTCGTTAGGATGGGGCGCTAATGCTACCCCATAGCTTCATATGCTCCCACGACTTTCTGGGAAATGGGTGTGCACAGGCCGCAAGTTGCATTTCCGCAGTTCACGAATGAAAGACGTCCCGAGGAAATGCACGGGATGATGCACTAGCTACAAAGTATGTAAGCATTAGGAACAGGCAAGCGCACGGCCAGTTTGGGTGTACCGTGACCACATTCCGGAGAGCTTTACCGCTCCTCGTCAGCCGAATGGTGAGGGCTGCCAGCTCCGTATTTCGCCCGTAAGTACTCCTCTGCTTGTTTTCTCTCCTTCGGGGTCATCTGAGTGCCATGTTTCCTTAGGTCATCGAGAGCTGCTTGATTTCCAGTCTCTTCTGCGCCCACTTGCGCGGCTGAATTGGCAGCTGACGGCTGCTGTTGAGGCTGCTCGCTGCGTTGGTTAGACAGCGGTTGCTGATGCATAGTTTCGTGACGCTCTCCGGACCCCGAGGCCGGATAGCTTGAATTGAGGTCAGCCATTCCGACCCCGATTTGTGTAGCTTCCCCTGAACTCAACAAGGGAAGCACTACATCAACAGCGATGCACGCAATACGAATGGCACTGAAATGGCGCTGTGTTGAGGCGCCGGCAGCGATAAACACGAGAGCAATGAGGGGAAAAAAACGAAAAAAGATATCCATTATTCTAGTAAACAGCAAGCACTGCGATAAGATTGGCCCACGAGGTTACTCAGGTATTGAAAGCAGAGCGGGTAGCCGTTGCTCTTGAAAGCCTACCTCCGAGTGCACACAACGGCGAGCCCGCCTTACCAGTGGTACAGCCATATGGGAAGAAGACAATTCACAATGAAGAAGTGAATTCCGTTTGTGGATTTAGTTGAATTCCTGTGTCATTTTAGTCGTATGTTTTTCGGCGCTAAGCTGCTGGTTGCGTTATTGTCAAGCGATTCGATGGGTGGAAGGCAGGTGACCCAAGGGTGGCAAGGTTTTTCGATAATGGCTTGTGGAGGCATTGACACTCTTGGAAAATCAGAAATAGTGTTTTCCTCCCTCAATTAAGGACAGTTAAACGAGGGAATGGCTCATCAAAGTGAATGTGCTTTCTGTCCGTAGTTCTATCTAGTGGTTCGCCAGAGAGAAACCCGGAGGTTAGCAATGTCCGTAGCCCGTCAGATGACAGTTTTCCGAACAGCTCAATCTTCTCTCAATAGTACGGAGGTCACAGCAGTCATGTTCAGATGATTTTCGGCCTGCAAAGGCCCACTGAGAAACGGAGTATTCCATGAAGTCGTGGGTGCAACACATGTAGGCATTTAAGAGCTGTCTCAAGAGTAAGGAATGCTTGTTATGGTTGCAACAACCTGGCACAATTCCCAACCAGAATTACTAATGATTCTAGGGAGATATTCTCGTAATATGTTCAGGATGGCGTCTCCCTTTATCGAAGACTCGAGTGGATTGACTACTTTTGCTGGGAAACAACTGTATGACGCCTATATCCTTGGAAAATGGGTTGACTTATTTGGCGTTATAAAGCCTCGAGCATTGTTTTCAATACTCTACTCTAAATAGTGGAACGCTGGGCAGTATAGGCTAAAGCCGCAGGCGGAGCTTCACCTGTGGTAGATGAAGACTTTGACTGTAGGTTTCCGAACCTTTTTGCATGCATGAACGGAGTATATCTTTTGCGCATATTAGGCTCACACTGGTGTCATTACCTCTTCCCAGAAGCCTTCAAGTGTGAATAGAGTTAAAAGAACTTGTCATGATGAGTCTGAGTATTTTCGCATGCTCGTCACCTAATATCTGATGCCACCAATGGAGGTTGCATAAATTCCCCAAGAAAACTGCAGGGTGGTTCCAGCTGTTTCATCTCGACAATTGGGGAAGGCTTCATTCCAAAGGGCATTTGAAAGTGAAGACGCACGAAATTGGCTTATCTTCAGATGCTAGCCACTACTTTTTATAAGAAATGACTTCCCATTCTATTTCAATCCTACCACAGATTTAACTCTGTAAGATGTTGTCTACTGGTAACCACACAACCACAACTCCACTGTGAATACCACAGAAGTTGCCGCCCGTGAGGCTCGCTTCAATGGACACCTGCAGAACCTACACCAGGGCTTCCTATACAAGCTGTATGAAGTGGGCAGCAGCGCAGCTCATAGGGCTACTTGTGCACCATATTTTCAGCCCCACTCAGCCTGCCAGAGCTACCTGCCATTCTTAGGCGATATTTGTCGCCGTTGCCTTCAGCTGCTCTGAATGCTAACTGGCTCTTGCTGCCCTGGATGCTAACAGGCTTTGCTCTGTAGCAGTAGTAGCCACACACCACGCTGCACGAGCTCCAGAACCAGCGCCAGCCCGCTAAGAAGAGGTCAAGTTAAACGCCGCGATTCGGAGCATCACAAAACTGTTCCTGTATGCGTCTGAAAATAAATGAGTGCTGTTGCTGAAGTCATTTCCTTCAGCCCGACGATCTGCATTCTTTCTAGACACGGGGAGTTGAATAGGTTGCACTGCTTTACTCCTCTCAGCCGCGGCCGCAGCCACGCACGCAATCGCGCATATATGCATGCATGCAAGAAGCCATGCATGGGGCTCCCTGGGGTCGTTTAGAGAGAGAACAGGAGCACGTGACGCGCCCCCGCGCGTTGCCAGCGCTCGTTGCCCGCTCACACACGTGCTTTACTTGTCACTAATTCACCGACATATGGCCTCGAGCGCAAGGGGAAGGCCCCTTCACCGTATGAAGCTGCCGAACAGGCTGCACGGGAGAGGAAGGCATGTGAGGCACGAATAACCCACTAGCCGTATTCCCAAAAACCGCTCCTTAAAAAGAAGAGCTCGCAGCATGTATGGGCCACTCGCAGGTCTGTAGATACCCCCTAAAGCAATAAGGCACAGCTCTGCTGCTGATGCCTCGCACTCCCCAGCCCCAGCTGTAAACCGCGGGCTTCGGCGTCTTCTGCAACTGTCTGGGGAAAGCCTCAAGCCCCAGGGTAGTAACCCCTGACGAACGACAGCTAGCCATCTAACGACGGTCTCGAAAGCCCGGGTGTCTGTAAAGTAGCAGGTATTGCAAATAAGCCACCACAAACACCACTAAACAACCCCCAATGCCCCCTCGCCCTGCCCCTGAAATTATGGTGACTGTGAACGCCGCAGAGGGGAAGTTCAAGCAAACCGTATTACACCCCCTTCACATATTCCCCCAACACGAAACTCCCGCCCTTTACGCCCGCATCCCCTCAAACATTCCTTTTGTTTCCATCCGCAACAAAAGCCGCTACTGCTGACGCTGCTGGTTCTCACTCCAATCGCTGGGATTCGAGGGCTCGCTGAAGTTGCTGCAGCTGCTGCTGCGGGATTTGCTGCATCCTCCGTCCGTGTAAGAACGGCAGCAAATCGTTTCCAGGTGGAATGGTCGGCGGAATGCCTACCAGTGGCACTGTATCAGCGTCAGTCGCGCCCCCAGGTGACCCTTGAGCCCCGGGAGGCCCAGGGGGCCCAGGCGGCCCCGGTGGGACCGGGAGCCCCCCGCGGGCATCTGCGGGAAACTGCTGCAACTCAGGCATGTGCGATCCCAGCTGGGAGTAGAACCCACACGCTGGCCCGCTGCCTCGCTCTTCGACGTCGGCCGAGGAAACAGACCGCTTGCGGGGGACTGCTCGGCCGTGGGCACTGTCTGGGACGGCAGCACTTGCTGCTGCTGCAGCTACTGCTGAGGCAGAAACAGGTTCCCCCCAAGCACTCTCCTGGGCTTCTACCACAGCCCTACCTAGGGGCCCCACGGTTGCCCCTACTTGAGCTCGAGGCAGCACAGAGGCAGCCCCTCCCCTTGCCGCTAATATGCGAGCCAGTGCGTCTGGATGCCGGCTCCCAGATGCACTGATGGGGAAACCTGGGGCGTTGTTGTCACTGTACCTAAGTTGCTGCTGCTGTGAAGGCGGAGCCATTCGCTGGGTCTGATTTAGGGCATTGGGCATGAGAGACAGTAAAAGCTTCACTGCCCCTTCAGGGTCATCCGCGCCTCCACGACCAACGGTATGTGTCGGCACTAGCTGGTGTAGAAGAGCAAGCTGGCGTTCCTGTTCTTGCTGCTGTAGCACCAGCTGAGACTGCTGATGGAGCTGTGGTTCCGCTGGAGCAGCTGCGGTGCGCACTCGCGCCTGCGCCTGATGTTGCGGGAGAACCCCCTGCTGCTGCTGACGAAGAAGTTGCTGCAGATGTTCGTGCTGCAGCATATGCTGCTGCTGCTGCTGCTGTCGCTGTTGCTCGTGTCCAATAAAAGCCTCGCGGATGTTCCACCCGCCACCCCTACGAGCACTCTGGTGTTCCAGACGATTTAAGACAGCAGCAGCAGAAGCGGCAGCACTGCCACTGCTGCTGAGATCTGCCTTCTGTTGCATCATCGGTGGAGAGGGCTGGAGGCTTCGCCACCAGTCTGCGGGGTGGCGCTGCTGCTGCCCTTGCTGCTGCGGGTGCTGCTGCTGCTGAATGGTAGGTACTGAACCTAACCCCACACCAGGCCCAAACACGAAGTCCTTATGCTGCTGCTGTTGCTGTGTCCAACTTCCGTCCAGCGGTACAGGAACTTGCTCCCGCCCACTACCTGTATGTACCAGAGAAGGCCGTTCTGTGTTCGGGAGAAGAGTCCCTTGTTGTTGCCGCTCCTGCTGCTGGTGAAGATGATCTGGCGTTGCTTGGCTTTCGGCTGCAGCTGCAGCGACTGTGCTGGGGGTCGCTAGCCACTGCACGCAGTCCTCGATCCCTGGAATCTCAAACACTGCCTCCTCATCATCATCCCCTCTAGCTGCAAACGCAAAGCACGAATTACTGTTGTTATTGCTGCTGGTGTTGCTGCTGCTGGATGCGGCTAGTGGAACCCCAGCAAACGGCATACCAGCAGAGCCAACGGCAGCTCCCAGCTGTTCGAGGAGACAGCCTGAGGTGTCAAATGCGCCGCTGCCCATGCTGAATCTGCTGCTGCCGCTGCTCCCCCCAAACCTTTTGGATCCACCCACTGGCTCGAGGCCTGGGGGCGGGCCAAACCTACCGCCACCTGGGACCCCATTGTCAACTGCCGGGGCCATGCAGGTTGGCGCATACAGACGCATCAGGAGCTGCTGCTGCTGCTGTTGCTGGTGTTGTTGCTGCAAGAGCTGTTCTGATGAGAAAGAAGAGGACTCAACACCAAGCAACTGCGCCGTGCTGTTGTCAAGCTGGAGGCCACCAAGCCGTCGCTGCTGCTGCTCCATCTGCTGCACTAGGCGCTGTTGCAGCTGCGGTGGAAGCAACGTGTGTAGCTGCTGTGGACATTCGTTGACACCAGCACCAGCAGGAGCAGAAGCGGGAACCCAACTGGCCCCATGCGGATCAAGGGGGGCCCGTTGAAGACCGGCAGCCATTGTCTGCAAGCCTGCATGCACCGGTGGCCAGCCTGCGGGCTGTTGAGTTAATTCTGTTTGCTCGTGCTGCTTATGGTGCGGCTGTTGCTGCTGCTGTGGCTGGCCGGAGTTCCTATCATCTGTGGACCTTGTAGAGAATCCTGGATGTTGTGTTTCCTCTACTGCGTTTGCCCCAGAGTCTTCAGGAACAGCAGACTTTCGACGAACAGCGGTGCCAGCCTCTGTATGGGTTGCCTCATTTCCAGAACCTTCTGCCGCGGAGCAGTCAGTAGCAGACGAAACATCGCCCCCATTCCCTTCCTCGTTGAGCGCAGAACCCTCGCTAGACAAACGCCTCCTGTTCCCGTCTGGGTTGCTCTGTTCATCATGAGACTCCTGCTCCTCCGCTTTCTGTTGCATTTGCTGCTCCTCCTGCTCCTCCTCCTGCAGCTGTTGCTGCGGGAGCTCACTGGGAGCAGACGAGGAAGTTAGATATTGCTGCTTCGGTTGCTGCTCTTGCTGCTCTTGCTGCTCTTGCTGCTCTAGCTGTTGACTTCCGCTGGCACCATTGTCAGAGGGACTTGCCTCACGAGGTGCTGCAGCTGCTGCGCTTGCCGCTGCAGTGGCAGCACTAGGCTTGATGCTTCCTGCTGCTACTGAGGCCCACGTACTGCAGCTTGTAGGTTGGGGCTTTGTTCTGGATTTCGTTGCGGATGCGGTGTGGGCTTCCTCAACCTCCGCAGCAGCTGCGGGTCCTGCTGCGAGTGGAGATGCAACAGCTGCAGGAGCCGGTGCCGCTGCTGCAGCTGTGGCACTGTCTTTGGCTGCGGTTCCCGACGGGGAGGTTGCCGATGAGAATTCATCCGAGTCTTCACTCTCACTGCCTCCCCCTTTTACTGCTCCGTTCCTGCAACATCAGCAGCAAAACCATGGATCCTGGCTGGCTCAGAGGCGGAGCGCACATGCAGCAGAGGCTGTGCACAGTGCATGCCTCAACACACAAATGAACGATACACGGGAAAAAAACCACACAGCATGCACCACGCTGATGCATTGCATGCAGAAGGAGGGCTGCATCGGAATGTCACTTCCAGCCGGGTTTGCAGCAAAAATGCAGGGAGAAGAAAATTGTGGGCTCCAAAAACATACATTGCCGGGTCTCCCTGTCCCTGAAAACAGACAGCAGAACAGCGACTCCTCTCCAAGCCCCATGCAAAGCAGCTCAAAAAACAAAGCACTTCCAATACAACACGTACGAAATGGCTAGGCAGAACTCCAGCGCATCTGTGAGTATGTACATGGTAAGCATGCATCAGTGGCTTAGCAAAGTACACACGACTCCGCACCTCCTTGTCTTCCTTCTGCCCAACGCTGCAGCCACTGCTGCTGCTGCTGCTGCTGGCTCGGGTTCCTGCGTCCTGCACCTTCCCGAAAAGACTCCCCGTCTGTTTCCGTTCGGAGTTGCTGGGGATCGTCAGATCCAGGAACTGATGCTTCGCGCTAATCATCGCCTCCTTCGTGAAACTGCAGCACACGCAGCAAGAACTGTCACGTAGCAACGCACGATTTTTCGAAGCACAGCTAATGACTTTCCGCACTTCTCCCCTCCACACTTCACGTGCAAGCAACTATTCTCCCCAGAAAATCGACTACCCCCCACACCCACACACTGCTGCGGCAGTTCGCAGGGAGCGGCGAACGTGATACAGCAGGAACACATGTTCCGGCTAAGAAGCAACAGACCTGTCCTTCCCAGAGCCCAGCTGGTGCAGGTAGGAACAGTCCGGATTTTGACATTTCACACCCTTGAGGAAGTGCGAGCAGTACCTGCATTCAAAGAAACGCGGCACGCTTACGTACATCCGTGTATGTTAGTACAAGTAGACTATGTGCATATCTTATATGTAAACCTACGCATCTAAAACGGGACTCAATGAGAAGGCGCAGAAAACGCCGTGGCAAAACCAGGAAGCACGCGACCCACTGCTGCCTCCATATACACCCTGCACCTTGCGGTATAACAGACGGTGCAGTGCAAGGTGCAAACTGTGTTCATACAGTTGCTGCTGGGCTACAGGGCCCTGTGCTCCACTGCGTCGAGGCTATGCAGCTGTCGTCGTCTCTGCTGCTGTAAATGCGTACTTTGTAGTTCCAAATGAAGCCTTCAGGGTCCGGCCCTCGTATACCGCGCCGTCCACCCCTTGGATCGCCGCTATCGCTTCTTTACTAGAAGAATATGTGACGTACACTGCAAACGAAGGCCCCCCCCAGTGCCTGAAACGTATGCACGCCCCACACGTGTACCCCTTGCGGCCCCATCTCCCCCAGCATGCTGAAAGCACAGAGGACGCTACCAGAAAAGTACGACAGGACCAATTCACCAAGCCAATCCTAATCCACTGGGATAACCGCAAGAGCGAAAAACAGCAACAAGACGGACCCCTGGTTTTTGTTAACAACAATTTGGAGAACCTTCCCGTACTGCCCGAAAAACTCATGACGGCGCAAAATCTGCAACAGGAGATCAGCACACACGTGGAATGCCCTCAGGCGAGAAACGCGTTTACGCCACATGCACGCAGCACGCACAGCTGCTCCCCTAAAGCCCCGTGCTTGCACCACAAATGCATCGACAGGCACACAGTCTGCTACGTGATACCCAACCAAAGAGACGCCACACTTGCATGCAGGTCCAGCCAAGTCAACAGCTGTCGTGTGCAACAGAACACCATTGGCCTGAAGGGCAAAAACGAGCAGCGGCCGGGATCCTAGTGCGGTCGATTCCCTCCGCTGGTCAACTAAGCGTAACCCCTGGACACTATACCCCAACCCCGAATCCGTGAAAACGGACCTCCTTCTTTGCAATTGAGGGGGGAATGCCAATAACATAAACCAAGCAGCGCTGAATAACGCGGACATCCTTCAGCGCCGCCGCCTGTGCGGGGGCTGGAGCTGCAGCTTCCCTGGAACCGCGACGGTGAGCCCCTGATGCTTGCTGTTGCGCTGCAGCGTTTCTGCTACTGCCGCCGTAGGAAGAAGAGCTGCTGCTCGCAACGCCTCCACGCGCCGTCCCAGGCGCACCCGCGGAGCGGCTGCTGCTGCTGCCACTGCCACCGCTGCTCCCGCTCCTTGTTGGATCCGAGGCCCCGCAGACCTTGTCTCTTGATTTCCGTCCTATTTGTTTCGTGAGCCTAAGCAGCAGAACACCCCTCACCCCACACCTTTCTATGGTCCCCCTGATATCGCCCGGCGGCTGCTGGCACCAAACCGGTACAACAACAAGCCGACAGCCGTTACAGCTACCAATGCAACTACCTGTATCGATGTGTATCGAGACACCCCATCTCTGTATATTGGCGCGTGTATGATTGGCGCGTGTTTAGAGTGAGCTTGGTTCGCCCGCCTGGCTGTCGCAGCCTCGTTGTGGATCCTACACTTAAGCTAATGCATCGTAAACTCACTCCAAGACCTTCGTCTGGTCATACTTGAACTTCTTCTCGTCATAATCGCGGCGACAAGCCGGGCACTTGTTCGCCAGGTGGTCCCGTATGTGGTGCAGACACCACAGACACACCTACGCGCACGTGGCAGCAGCAGCACCAAATGCTCATAAAAACACAGCGCCCCGCAAGGGCTCCCATGAGACTGTCCCCACGGGTATCATCCGGAGAGCGCCGCCGTACAAAAACAGGGACGTGTTGCGCATGCTTCCTGTGGCTGCTGCCTCCGAAAACCCTAAGGCAGCAGACCTGCTGCGCAAATCCCAAAGTAAAAAACCCTATGGTGACAATATCTACGACGCCCTAGCCCACCTGGTACCCGCACTCGCAGGGGAATAGGCCCCTGTCTGTCTCATCCAGCGTCTCTAGGCACAAGGGGCACGTCGCCTCCTCCTCCTCCGCCTCCTCCGAGCAGTTCGACGCCTGGCTTACGTTGCTGCTGCGCCGCTGCCCCACAGAGCTGCTCGCGTGCTGCTGCCTACTGCTGCTACTGCTGCCGCTGCCGTGGGTCACGGCCCCAGCAGCACGCTTGTGCTGCTCGCTGGAATAGTTCACCGTCCCACTACTACTGCTGCTGCTTCCTTCGGCTGTTGTGGCGGCACCTGCACCTCCATGACGATTCCTCCTGCATTCACGCCTGTTGCTGCTTCCAGGAGCACCTGCACTTGCTGCTGACGCCGCTGCAGTAGGTCCCGTTGCAGTAGCTCTCTTGCTGCGGCCTGTTTCAGCAGTGTCCCAGGGCTCTATACTGTGGCTGCGACCCACGCTTCCCCTGAAGGCAGTTGAGTCCTGAGACGGTGCACAGGCGGAAGCAGCAGCAGCAGAAGTGTCGCGTCGTTGCGCATCCGCAGCGCGAGATCTGTTCTCTCTCTGATGCGAGGGCATGGCCGCCTCCACCTCAGCACGTGCATGCAAGCCGTCTGTCTATACACCCGAGATGCAAGCAACTGACGGCTGCAGAAGCAGCAACCCCTCAGTTCCCGCACCGCTCGACGCAAACCCGTCGCATGCTGTTGCCTATGAATGAAACCACCTTGACAGACCAACCCCCCCGCGCCGTCTCTGCAACTACGGAAGAACACTTCTGTCTCCCTGCTGCAGATGTGCCTAAGGGCGAGCACCGGGCAGCCTCAAAGGCAGGCGGATAACGAGCTGCAGACTAACGAGAGCCGAGCCCCGGCAGAAGCCGATGCAACAGGAACAGCCGTAGGCTGCAGCAGTGCAAAGGGCTGAGCCACAAGCACCCGTTTCTGTGCATCAACTCTGTAGTCCTCCTGTGCAATGAGGGCTGCCTGCTGGACTGTTGCGCTAGGGCTAGGCGATGAGACACCTGTCCCAGTCCGCTGCGAAGGGCTGAGAGAAACGGCTAAATTGATATGCAAAGGCCTCCCCACGGTCCGGAGCACGTCAATGGAGATGCCAAAGTGTATTCCAAAAGGAGATTCAACAAATATCACGCTTTTCCCCAGAAGAGAACGCGCATGCGGCACGGCGCAGCAGCCGCACATTCAGTCCTCGGCCGACGGAGTAATGCAGCTGCGATCGGCCAGCCGGAAGCGCCACAAAGATCATCAGCAGAAGACCATTTACGAAATCATATTTCCCAGTTCCAAATATGATTGTCACAAGGAAACACAGCACTCGCTTTGTCTGCTTATTCTTATGGCGTGTCGTGTTACAGAGGGAGTGGGGGGGGGCGCACGGCGTCAAGGATGCCACTTTCACCCCTTTGCCTAACAAAAGTAGTATTTAAAAGGTTATTTGTTGGTGTATAATGGTATTGAGATGTCGCTTGATGGTTGCAGCAGCAGCTGCTATCATCTTCGGTGCACCCATACATAGTGACGAGGAGCTACACCTCCTCGCGTTGAAACTCTGTGTAGGCCATTATGGCCCGTGTAATAGGATACACTATAATGAGAATTTAGGTTTCACTTTATGAGGAAAACGGCAGCTAAGGCCTGCCTGTTCTTCCTCAGCACCACGGATAGTATTTGACCTGGGGTGGGACCCTCGGCTCGTCACTTGTTGGGAATGTAAACTCACAATGAGACTATCAACCCCTTGACAGTACGGAGGGACTTCAGCACGTCGAGGGGGAAGAGGGGAAAGTGCCAGCCTTTGCCTGCTGGACATCCTGTTTGTAACCCCGTGCATCGAACCCTTGTTTTTCATTAACGCTGCGGCTAGAGTATTCAGGGGCTTCAACGCAGGCCATAGTCAACGACTTTGCAGAATTTAGAAACTGTATACCTGTAAATGGTGTTGGCCCCAGCTGCAGGGGATGCTGTTTTCCTGCCCCAAGGTTGTCCCCCTGAAGTGGAGGCGAAGCCATGTGTGGTACTCCTGATATGTATTTGCACTTGCATTTGTACCTATTTGAATGTTGGCTACAGGGAAGCAAGTGAGTGTCTAGCAATACTATTCTGCGCTAGTGCACGCACGCTCTACCCGCGCTAACGGGAGGCTAGGGAGTGGTGGGATTTCAAGACGCAGTTCTCCACAGGCTGCAGCATAGAGTTCAGTAAACCGTAGCGCACAGTTTCTTCTATTCACCAACGAGGAACAGCATTTGTTTTGTTATTTGCAGGCCTCTTCTAGACTAGAGGAAGGGTCAGATACTCTTTAGAAGAGTTGTCCCAGGTATTCCCACTCCACCGCACATCACGGCGGCCATCGGCAAAGCCGAATAGTACTGCCGGTTGAGAGAGCGACACACGATATAAGAACACAACCTTAACAACTGGGCACCCTGATATTAGGCACTGTGAAGTGCTGAAGGCACTGCGCCGGAAAGAGAAAGATGAAAAACGTAGATTTTCTTCAAAGGCGTTTCCAACCACACCTCTACACACCGGCAAAGCAAAAAAGGTGCGACTCTTTCACGAGAGCACGTTAGGTAGCTTTCACCGAATACACGGCTTGTGTGCTTTGAATCACTTCATCACCAAATGATCCAGCAAATGCCTTGAATGACTGCATTTATGAATGGAAGCAAGCATGCGACCTCCAGGCGAAATTGCTGAGGTATATGCCCTGAAACGTAATGCGACAGTGCATCACTGAGCGCATCTAAATCATTCTACTATGTAGGGTGCGAAGTGCGCCATGACGGAGCAGGGGGGCACAACGCACTGCATACGCGCTGCCGGGAACGACGGAAAGTTGCAGCACGCAGTCACAGGGGCCCTACAAAAAATATCTGTTTCTAAGGACTCAACACAATGAACACCTGTGAAAGAGGGAGAGTTGGCACAAGCGAAGGCAAAATTCTCAACTAGTCTGAACCTAGAGGGCTCCCAGCACCGGTGTCGCCCGTTTGGCGCCCCATTTGCCTGTTCACACTCCCTCTCTGCCGAACTCCTAGGTTCCTCCTGGGATTCAGGCGATCTCTCTTCTTGGAGAGAGACTTAGAAGACAAATGGACGAAATGCTAAAGAAACGCCCGCTTCAACAGTCGACTGTAGCACTTGGAGGCAATCGGTTTCTGGTGCGAAAATGAAAAGGGAGGTGTCGTGGTTATGTTGATTTCAAGCCTCTTTGAATAAAGCAAAAACTGCCGATGGCAAGAATAAACAAAGTACTTGGCTAAATACTTGGTTGCTTCTAAAAGTTAGCTGTCTATTCATTATTTCAGTTCAGGGCCACGCTTCCTCATATCCCAATGGGTTGCCTAAGGGTCCGTGCAAAGCAGGCAATGAGACTAATCCTTATGCCCTTGGGGCTTGTAAATGCATCTTTAGCGCTGCAGCGATTGTTCTACCCAAGCGTAATTGATCGAGCCTAGCTACTAATAATTAGATGGCTGTATACAGAGACGACTTCCTAGGGTTCATCCAGAATGCGCAGGCTCACTTACAGCACGTACCATCTGGGGAACTACTAACACACAGGAAAAAGTGGTTCATAAAAACACAACTACTTTACCTGAGGGAACCAAGCAGCGCACATGGCATTTTAGTCTCTCCACAGCAGGAGTGGATTTCCGGTAAAGACAAGCCCCAGGGGCTTTCTTCTATTACCACAACTTAGCTCCAGGCGTCAAGTTTTCGCCGCAGCTCTGTTGATAAACTCTAGGGCGCTACCAACCCTCAGCTGCCACTACGTATACTCAGATGGGCCCTTCTGGCAGGGTATCTCCGATCAATAACGCTAAAAGCCTAAAGCGTAAAATATCTAGACACTAAAACTCATTATTGTCGATGTGTCCGGGAAATTGTGAATTGAAGGCCCGTCTCCCCGTGGACCGCAACAGGCGTCAGTGCCTCGATTATGCAGTCAGACACAACATCCTGAAAGACAGCTGAGCACTCGTACCTTGTTGGTCTTTTTCCGTGCATACGTGATCCAATTTAGAATTAAAATTACATTACATTGTGTTAATTTCACGGGATAGGCATCTAGAGGCGCAATGGTAAAACCACTGTACTGCCGGCGTACTGCATTATGTGTGATGCAGGACATAATGCAGTACCAGTTGTAAATCGGATCACTTAGGCCAGAAATAAGGCCACCTGGCTCAGAGGACTCAGCAGCCTATCAGGGTGTATGGCTGGCTGCGTAGGCTACGACTCGGGGCTCTGGGATTCTGGTGAGGAAAAGGTTTGGGGAAGAAAAACATAACACAACCTTCAAACACACTGATAGAGAGATATCTTTTATCTTCCTTTAAGTTAGGTGTTTTTTGCATTCTTTGTTGGAAATCCCCTTTGTTGGAAATCCCCTAGAAGAAGGAGATAGGACTGTTCGTAATGGCAGATGTGATTCACTCGCGCACTACACAAGCTGCTCGTGTGGACATAACATACGATGCCCGTGGAAAAGCAGGCGGGTCGATGGATTCCCATTATTCTCGCGAGTTGAAAGTGCAGACCATGCAATCGCCCTCCACTCACATTACTAAGAAAGCATGCGAAAGAAAATTCAAAATCATCCCACAAATAAAGCACCAGTCTTGGTCTGAGGAAGGAGCCAGACAAACTACCGGCCATGAGTCTGCCTTTTCTAATCGCATTAATTGTTCGACGCCGTTAACAGATTCCGCAGACACCATTATGGAGTGACGACAGGGAGGTGCCCACAATAATTTGTGAGAAAAAAATTGAACAGCGCGTGTTCCATTGATTTTCCATATTTAATTCGGTAGCGCCAACGTTGCCCTGCTCAAACCGTACAGCAACATCCTTCCAACCACCTTGTTTGAGGCGGGCTGACGCGCAGGAAACAATGGGCCACCCACTATCAACTCAGCAGTTCTGCAACTCATCGCGTAGCTTAGATGTCTGGGGAATTGCTTTCGTGTACAGTGTATCTTGCATGGTGTTCTGTCGTTGCTGCCTTTCATATATGTAGCAGACATGGCGAAGGCGGGTGACGGTGGGGCTCCGTGCATGCTGGGGCTCCTTACATGCATTGCGGCAGGGCCAGCCAATCAGTGTAGCTTACCATTTCGGCAAGGGCCGCACGAAGAAGCTCTGGAAACCTGAGAATTCGTTTTTGCTCCTCGCCAACTCCATGCCCCTATGCCGCCTTGCTGAGTGGCTTTGAAGAGAAAAAGGGAGGTACGTGGCGTCCCCGTCTCCATTGATGGGCCCAATGCTTCTCGTTTCAACTTACAGATGCGGATAGCGTGCCTTATCTGATGCTGGAACGCATTTCTACTATTCCATGATGCCTGCGTATGGGGGCGACGCGTGCTTTTAACGATTGCCTACACTAGTGGACACATTGACCAAAGGGCCTGGGCACTCTTGGAGTGGTTCCGAATCATTTTGTACGTGTCTGCATGATCGCAGAAGATTGGAGTGATGTCAGTTGCCGTGTGGAATTCCTGTGCAAACTATTCCAGCTCTTCTGTTTGTAACTAAATGAAGTAACACGAACCTCCTACCCCAATAAACGATTCTGTATGCATTAAAATTGCCTTAAGTTGTATAGTTGCACAAGGGTTCACCAGGGGGAAGCGGCCTCCAGTCGTCCAGGCCGGACTGGCGGCAAAACAGGAGGCAATTGCCGCTTCCAGGGCATTATGATCCCGCTCGATCAAATTCAACAGCACTCAACGCCTGAATCCTTCATTTGTAATTATTTGGGTATTATTTTTCTCCATATTGTGCGTTCGGAGGGGCCCCCCAGCCCCGCTCAAAGGTGAACGGGGGGGGGCCCCACTGAGAATGACTCGAAACATACTTCTCTTTTCTTCTCTGGAAACAACAGGAGAAATTGTTGATTAGACCTTGCAAATTTTGCAAATATGCTTGTCCAGTAGTTATTTGCCCTTCCTTGCTGCCTTCAGCCTGTGCGGCGGATTTGCAGCAATTGACGACGAGCCAGGGGCAGCCCACATCCTTCGACCAGCGCAGCTCCCTTTCGCGTTGACAATTTATTTTATTGCTCTTGGAATGCAATGCCTTCACCTAGTGACCATCCCCAGGGCTCTTTCCCCCCAAAGTGGGAACATGCGCTGCCTACAGCAGTTGCAACTGTTGCGGTTGTAGCGGGGACTACGGCGGCTCTACAGCTCGCAGGACGGTTGCGGGGGGGCGCTTCGCTTGCAGCTGTGGAGGTCGGAGCTGCCTTTGCATGTGCTGCATACTTGACTTGGCGTTACTTTCGGGATGTTTCCTCCCTTGCAGCTACCACCGAGCTGCAATCTGCACCAACTCCCCCCAAAAAAGTAGCTCAGAACAACTTGGATGAGTCGGAGAGCTGCTGCGGCGGCGCCTGGGGATGCACTTGCTCGTCTGATGCAGCAGTGGTGACGGAAGAACAGGAAGAGGAGGGGGAAGCCGACCTCGAAGATTTGCAAGGCAGCGACGACGAGTTCAAGAAAGCAGCCCGTGCTGCCAATCTATCAACCTACCTGCAGCCGAAGGCCTCAAGGCAGCGAGCGCTTTCTCAACTGTCAAAAGAAGACGGTGAACGAGGGGAAGTAGAACTGTCGGGAACTGCAGCGCTGTCTGCAGCTGGAGCAGCTGCAGCTGCGCCACCCGCAGGAGCCACTCCGAACTATGAAGGCACATTCCTCCCAGGGCGCTCGAAAATTTACTTCAAGACCTTCGGCTGTTCCCACAACGTTTCCGACTCGGAGTACATGCGTACGCCTATCCCATTTAGTGCTTAGGTTTTACGGTTTACGGTTTAGGGTTTGCTTGGAATTGTGCGAAGAAACAAAGCGGCATTGGATTTGTGGGTCTTGCCTTAGTTTGGTGTATCGAGACATTGCCGGTCTTTGCACGTCACGCGCTGTCCGTGTATCCCGCTAGTACTACGTTATGGGGAGCAGCATGACAGTACTTTAAAGTATTATATTTTACGATGTGGTCGTTGTTTCCTTAATCAGTTGTTAGTTTCTTTGCCCTCGGGTACTAAGCTGGTTCAGTGTAGTCAAATAGCTGCTGCACCAGGGGCTGCTTCTGTAACTGGCGCTGCGCATGCATGTGGGCGGTCTGGCACTACAGAGGGCTTGCTGCACGCGTCGGGGTATCGGTTTGTGGAGACGATGGATGAGGCTGACATCTGCGTTGTCAATTCGTGCACGGTGAAGAGCCCCTCGGAGTTCGCTCTCTACTCCGTAATAAGGGCGGCCTTGGGACAGGCACCCGCTTGCAGCAACACTGCTAGTGCTGCTGCTGCGGGTGCTGAGGGTGCGGGCAAGAAGCGGCAAGCTGCATTACCTTCCCCGTCGGAACTGGCGGCGGGCGATAGTGCAACAACTGAGGATGAGCTCCAGAGCTGCTCCCCACCAGGGCAGCAGGAGGAGGAGGAGGAGCAGCAGCAACAACAACAACAGCAACTGCGACGGAAAATCCCCTGCGTGGTTACAGGCTGCGTACCAGGGGCAGCTAGAAGCGACAGGCGCGGCAAGGGCCCTGCAGGGGCTGCTGTGCCATGGCAGGAGGCGCTTCTAGAGCAGTGCTCGATTGTCGGTGTATCCGCATTTGGCCGCATTGTGGAGGTTGTGGAGGAGGCGCTACAAGGCCGCATCGTCCGCCTCACCGGCGGCAAGGGGTGAGCTGCCTGTACACCCCAGCACGTGTCTCGGTCGAAACAAACATAAACACTATATAATATCGTGGCGTGAATATCGTGGCGTGTATCCAAAACCTAAACCCTCAGATCGTAAACTAGAACACGCAAAACCCCTGTTGCAGCGACAGGATAGAGAGCTATCTGGCACGAAGGAGGGGGCTACACACAGCGTGCAACACAGACGGGCCCCTGCCATTTGTGTATAGAGACCCCCTTGGAGTTCTGTGATGGTGCTTAGGGCCTCTTCTGGTTTTATAGGGACCCCTGTTAAGGTGTTTAGTGGCCCTTGTGGTTATTTCAGGGGTCCGGTTAACGCATTGGGGGCCCCTCTTATTCTCCATAGGGTCCCCTAGGCTGTTAGCGGGATTGTCGTGTTTCGATTTGGTGCGGTGCAGACTGCCTCCATTGGATTTGCCCAAGATTCGGCGCAACCGCTTGATAGAAATTGTGCCCATTAGCACGGGATGTCTCGGCAACTGCACCTATTGCAAGACAAAGCACGCGCGGTGAGCCTGCCTTCTTTCCTCTTTTCTTTGTGACTTGAGTTGTGCTTGGTTGTTGCAATGCCTTTATAGCGCTTCGGCCTGTTGCTCGATTGTCTTGTACTCTGCTATGGCTGGAAGCAGCCTCTGGAGTAGAAGGACAACATCAGCTTCAACAGGAGCTGCTGCAGCAACGGAACCAGTAGGGATACAGGACGGGCGCCGCTGCGCGTTTTTGGCTCTCTTGCTGCAGCGGAGACCTGGGCAGCTACCCAGAGGAGGCGATTGAAGCTCGGGTGCGGAGCGCCATAAAACAGGGAGCTACACAAATTTGGCTTACCAGCGAAGACACAGGTGGGTACAGACACAGCTGCAGCATGCACAGCTGCAGCAGACACGACTGCAGCAAACACACAGCTGCATGGGTATGAAGCATATGGGTGGGGGGGATGAAGCAGCTTAGCTGAGCCAGACCATATATAAGGGGCCGCCTGGGCTGAAAGAAGCTGCCATGGGGTGGAGGTGGCCCTTGGCCAACCTTTTTGTTTCTTCTTTCTGGTGTGTTCGTTCCGTGTGTATATCTCTGCTCTTCGTCTGTATCGACAGTTGTTTTTGTTGTGTTTTTTATCCATTTCTTCCCTGTCGACTCTGTGTATCAGTCTGTCTTGTATTTGTGTTCCATCTTCTCTACCTGGCTCTGCCTCCTCCTGGAGTCATCGTCTTGCGTATCTGGTGTAGCTCAGTCTGTTGCTTTGCTAGTCTTTTGTGTGCCTGCGTCTGTTCTGTGTCTCATCTCTTACTGGTTTGCGTCCGTTTCTCTCCTCTGTGCCTACTGGCTGGTTTGTCTTCCTGCATAGTTGCTGTTATCCGTGGGTCTGCATGCAGCTCCATGCATACAGTAAGGTACAGCAGGGTCTCCGTAAAATTCTGCGCCGCAGGGGCTTACGGGTTGGACATTGGCAGCAGTCTGACGCAGCTACTGCGGCGGCTGCTGCAGCGGCCGCTGCCAGAGGAGGTGATGCTGCGCGTGGGGATGGGCAACCCTCCGTTCTTGCTGGGTCAGTTGGCTGCAGCTACGGATATCTTAGGCCACCCGAATGTCTTCGAATTCCTTCACCTCCCAGTGCAGTCCGGCAGCAACAGCGTACTGAGTCGCATGGTACGGATACACAGCAGCGTGCTAAGAGACAACCAATGAGGCTGCTGCTGCTGCTCATACTTCGCTGATTCCCTTGTGGCACAACAGCCACAACGGTGTATCGTCGCCTCCTCTACAGCTGATGTCGAGGCCGTCTTAAGGCACTGGTCTCCCGATAAGAAAATGTCTTCAGGGCGGGGGGAGAAGATGTATGTGCCGCAGCTGCTGCTGTTTGTGCTTCTGCTGCGATTGTCTACAGAAGCGGGACTACACGGTGGAGCAATTTCGACAGGTGGTGGATGCCTGCCTGCAGGCCCACCCTCGAATGAGCATCATGACGGATATCATTTGCGGCTTTCCGGGCGAGACGGAAGAAGACCACCTCGAGACCTTGCGGCTACTGACCGACTATCGCTTCCCAGTAGGTCCTCAGGCTGCTTGCACTGGCAGCAGCTGCTGCTGTGGCAGAAGGAATGTGGAGGAGGTCAGGTGCCCCGGGATGGACCTCCGGAGGATAGGTCTGAAAGCTTGAAGGCTTTAGTGGCTTTGAAGCGTATATGACACTAACAACGTGCAGCAACCGCTTGTAGACCCTAGACCCTAGACCATCAGAACTCATACAGCGAGCTGGCCAGATTGCTGCACCTGCCTAGGCTTGTGTCAGCCACAGATGCTGGTTTGGGGATTCAGCCGCTCTCAGCGTGCTCTGCTGTTGCATGCGGCGCTGCAGGCAGTCAACATCAGTCAGTTCTACCCCCGCCCCAATACTCCTGCTGCAGCGATGAAGCAGCTGAATTCACAAGTGGTTAAGCGTCGTAGCAGAGAAGCAACCCAGCTCTTCGAGTCATACACCTGCTACGACTGGATGGTTGGCACGGTTCAAAAGGTGCGTCTTCACTTCACACCACTGCGGCTGCTGCCAGCTTGCGCATGGAACCACGCAGCTGCATGCAGCAGCTATATGCATGCACCCATGCATAGCTATCCGCCCACTGCGTCGAAGTGGGGTGTCTGTACACCCTGCAATCTGTTTAGATGCCGGAGGGCTTCTCGATCCATCTATTGGTCTCGACAGTTGCGGCGGATGCATTCGGTTTTGGACCATTTAGCGTAGGTGTGCTGCATGCGATATCAAGATTTCGACTCTGTTCTCTGCATGCGACATTTGGCCTGGGAGTTTAGGTTTGGTTCTCTTCTCACTCCGACCGCAGCGAGCACACAGTGGGACACACAAAGCAATACGTCAAGATCCTTGTAGACAGGTAGGTGTCTCCTCCCGGGTTGTTTTTCTTCTGCTTACTTGTTCCCTTCAACCCCCCAAAGGGAGCAGTCTCATATCTTTTGACATGCAGCATACGGGCTTGTGCCATCAAGTGCAGGCACCACGTGTCATCCAGACAGATGCGACATGAGGTTCTCTTCGGTCGTTGGGATCTGCTATTGCTGCTGCAGGGACGAGGCACTTCTAGGGAAGGTCGCGTTCGTGCGAGTGATTTCGGCGTCTAAGTGGCACTGTATGGGGGCTTTGTGCGGTCCCCCGGATGCCTAGTGCCTGCAGTCCCACCGCTCTGGCTCAATGCATGCAGCCTCACAGCTGCCTAGTGCAGGCGTCTGAGCATTTTCTTGGTTCGCTGCTCTTCTTTGAGCGGGTGGAGGGCGGGGCAGCAACAACGACAGCACTGCATGCATGGGTCCAGCCTCCGTGCTTACGGGTGCCATTGACAATGCGCAGCTGCTACGGCAGCCGCAACAGCGACTGGTCTTGCTGCACCAGCTGCAGCAAGAATGGCGCTTCATTTAGTCCCCTCAGGAGGGATATGCCTCAGAACGAACACGGTGCCATATGTTTTTTCTGATCTTTAGTGTTCATAATGCTGAACGGAAGTGGATGCTGAGGAGGAATATCTGCTGCTTCCTGACACTACCGAGGATGCAGGGGCGAGTGCTGCTACTCCTTATTGTTAAAAGTGCTGCAGCTACCGCTAATGTAGACGGGTGCATGTGTGGATGAGTATGTAGGGGCTTCAGGCTTGGCTGGAAATTAGGTAATTGGCTTTTAGGGTTTACGTTTTAGGGTTTACGTAGAGGCGGGGGGCGGTGATGCGGGTTGTTCAGGGGTATACGTACACCGCCGATTCTTCAGCTGTCTAGAGCAGACTGTTGTTAGTTTGCACATCTGCCTCTGGGTTTATATGGGGGCATTCTATGCGTTTTGGCTTAAAGTTTAATTGTGTTTGTAGAGACACCTCTTTATCCCCATCGGGCTTCCTGCCTACCCCATACATCTAACGAACTCTTCGCTGGGCCCAGTGTCTCTCCTGGCTGTAGGTATCTCGATGCTAAGTCGTATACCTTGACTACGCCCTAAGCCTTAAACCCTAAACCCTACTCAGACCCTTAACGCAGATGCACTGGCGCCCTTATGCAGAACTTTCTCGGGACCAAGACAATACGCTAGTCAGGGAACGCCCCACAGCTGGGGAGATAGCTACAAGCAGCAACCTGCAGTCTCCATAACGCTTGGCAAATGTAACATTCCCGACTCTTTTATTATCTGCACATTCAATTGCAGTTCAGCTGTATGTATGGCTGCTGCATGACCCCTCCGGAGCGTCAACTCCAAGCATAACCTTCACAACGATGGGACATGCTGCATGCAGCATCTGCTACATGCAGCAGGAGCAATACAAGCAGCAGCATTAGAGTCTGTGGCTGCTTCAGAAAGATGCTGTCTCCAAATTGGTCGGATCGGATCTTGTCCTTTGTCCGGCTACTGCTGCACTGCATGCGGTTGCTGCTTTTGCTGCCGCACATGACTCCAACAGCAATACTAGAGGCTGCTGTTGCTTAACTAAATATTATCCCGCTGCCGCTGCCGGCTCCTGCTGATGCTGAGGCCAAAGTTGACTGTGAGGCCCTGAGGGCAACCAGCTTTCTTATTTATTGGAACCCTTGGTAATGCTGCTGCTGCTGTTTTTGTTGCTGCTGTTGAGCAGCTGCAGCAGCAACAGTAGAAGAGGCAGCGAGACGTATTTGAGCTTCCTGGAGTAGGACGAGACTGCTGAAAAGGCTTCCAAGGAACCTATGGCCCCTTGCCTCTGTCCCCTTGCTGCGCTGCTGCACGCGTCTAGTACTTGAGGGGTTTAATGAAACAACAACAGCAGCAGCGGCAGCAGCAAGTCTGTGCTGTCCCTCTCGTTACATTGTCTTGTAGGTAGCAAAGGCGTACGGGGAGGCCGCAAGAAGGGGCTACTGAAGACAAACTGTCTGTCCCCTTTCTAAGGGCCCCCGTTAGACGTCCTGCTAAGGCTACACAGTGCATGCAAGCAATAGTGGGGTTGTTGTTAGTTTTTAAGGTGCAGCAGGAGACGCGCTGCAGCGGGAGAAGTGTTGCTTTACCATTCACCAGGATCAGCCATCATCAGCTCCCAGAAGGCTTCCTCTTCTTCGAGGAGGTAATCATCATCTGCTTCCCCGGCCTGCTGCTCTTGCTGGTGCTGCTGCTGCTTTTGCTGCTGCTGCTTTTGCTGCTGCTTCCGCTTGCTAGCCTGCTGCAACTCGTTTTGCCTGTTTGCTGTTGCATGCGCGTGGAGCTCCTGAGGCGGCCAAAGGAAATGAAGGCGTTCTTCCCTATCTTCAGGGGCCCAGTCCTCTGAGGGTAAAGGGGCCTGGGGACCCCCCATCTCCTCCTCTAGTGCTAGCAGCAGCCTCAGCTCCTGTAGCGTCAATGCTAAGAGTTCTATCCTTGTTAGTTCCTCTGGCAGCACCAACCGCCGCATCCATTGGTCCGCGTGTCCCTTTGCATGCAGCCCCAAGCCCCCTTCTACAAGAGAAATTTCTCGTGTGCCTCCTCGTGATAGCTGGGCCTGCGCAGGTGTCTCCAAGTCTCTTTCAAAGACCTCCAAGACAGCAGCAGCAAAAGTTTCCCCTAGAAGCTCCCCTACTAACTCGATAGGTGAGGGGCCCAAGGGCCCCTCGGACTCTGCATGTATTAGCCGCTGCTCGTGCAGCGGCACAACATCGAAGCTGAACTGCAGCGTTGCTGCATGCGGGGCCCCTGCATGAGGCCTTCTAGAGGAATTCCCCAAAAGAGAACTCCCTTTTTGAATGTCCTGTGCATGCATGCGAAAAGTTAGCTCAAGGGCCTCCATTAAGGCTGCTCGTACCTCTGATGGGGATGGGTAACGAGTAGAGGAGACAGTCTCTAAGGGGGCCCCTAAAACCCATGTTAATTCAGGGGTGTCCCCTATACCTACAGCTGCCCCTTGTCTCCTGTCTGTAACAAACCAACTTGCATGCTCATGCGGATCTGTCTTCGAAAAGCCCCAAAGATTTGCATGCAACGAGTCTGTAGGCCACAACCACTCTCCCTCTTCTGCAGTGACCTCTAAGCCCCCCAACACATTGCGAAAGCCCATACCCTCAGTGGGCCTGTTTTCCTGTTGCATGCGCTGCTGCATGCGAGTTCTTGTCTCTAATGCGGCAGCAGGGGACGGCACTGCAGCAGCACCTGTACCCTCTAGTGCCTCCCTATACACCTTCTCATCCATAGCCACCTGCAAGGAGGTGTCTCCTACCTGAGGTGTCTCCAAGGGACTGAGGGGCTCCCCAAGAGACGGGAGAAAGAAAGGAGACACCTTCGGAGGCAGAGGGCACGTGGGGGGAGGGGCGACCTGTGGGGCCCTCTGCCCTGTCTCCTTTTCGCTTCTCTTAGCAGCCAAAGAACCAGCAGCTGCAGTTGCAGCTGCAGCAGAAGAAGCAGCAACAGGCACCAAAACGTCCTTCATTGATGTGCCAACCTTCTGCTCTCGGGGGACACCTAACCTAGTCCCTTCTTCTTGGACACCGCCAGCTGATGGAACCTGATGCTGCTGCTGCAGCTGCTGCTGCGGTTGTTGCCGCTGTTGTTGCTGCTGGAGTTGTTGCTGTGGCTGCTGTGCTTGCTGCTGAGCAGCTTCGAGCTTTTTCTGCTTGCTACGCTGCAGCAGCAGCCACCTTTCCTGATGCACAAAATGACTCTGCAGCAGAGCAGCGCCTGCAGCTGCAGCAGCTCTCATCCTTTTTTCTTGTGCCTCCGGATTTCTTGAGGGGCATGAGGGCCTCCCGCTGAAGAAACTGTACCTATGGGAGTTGCTGAGGGACCCCCCGACGGAGCTGCCCCCCCACCGGACAAGGTCTTCTTCTTGTTGGGCCCCAGGGGCCCCTGCTGCTGTTGCAATATCTTCAGATGCCTCAGCACCAGCAGCAGCAGCAGCAAATAAGACGTCTTTTGCTTCGGATGGGAGAGCGTGCTGCTGTCTTACCTCCTTACTTGAGGAGGACGACGGACCAGTTATCCCTGACCCCTGAAGCCAACAGCAGCAGGAAATGCAGCAACAGCAGCAGCAACAGCAGCAGCAACAGCAGCAGCAGCAGAAGCAGAAGCAGCGATTGTAGGTGAAGTTGCTGTACCATCAAGTGCAGAAGCAACAGCAGCCGCTGCTGTTGCTACAGCAGCAGCTGCTGCAAGGCACCTGGCAATGTTGAGGGAAAGGAGACAGAGGGAGGGTCGGAGAAGGAGACAAAGAAGGAGACAAGGAAAGCGACAGTGAAGGAGACGAAATAGGAGACTAGGAAGGATACAAAGGAGGAGACGAAAAAGGACACAGACCCACAGGAGACAGCGGAGGAGACATAGAAGGGGACAAAGGGGAAGAAAGGCTTGCCTCCTTGTCTACCTCAAGAGTCTTTATAGGAGGAAGAGATGCAGTTCTATCGATGTGCCCCCCTCTGCTGTTTGTTCTCTCCAACAGCAGCAGCTGCAGCAGACACAGCAACAGCAGCTGCAGCAGAAGTTTTGCTTGTTTGTTGCTTTTTCTTGCTACCTCTCGTGTCTCCTTTGTGCCTCTTTGCATCTGTTGTGTTCGCTGTGCTGCCGCCTCCTTGGCCCCACTTACCTGATTAGCTGCATTTTCCTGTGAAGTGTCTGTCCCTACCTCAGCAGCAACAACCTGTAACACCTGTTGCGCCTGCAGCAGCAGCAGCAGCAACACAGCCGCACTGTAGGCATTCCCCACAAAAGGGGGAGCAAAGGCTGAGGCCAACGCAGCAGCCGAGCCGCCCCAGACTCCCATGCTGTCTGCTGTGGTATCTGTAAACTATGAGCACAAAAAGTTTCTTCCGTCTCGTAGCTGCAGATACACTACAATGCAGCAGCAAATGGTTCCGCTGGCAGCCTCCTGCTGCAGCTTCAGAGTCAGGCCCTGCAGCAACCTGCAGCAGCAACTCCTGTATAGCTGCTGCCAGTGGGCATCCTGTATGGTGAGGAGGGGGGCCCTGCGGCTAACAACTCCCTGATGTTGTTTGATGGATGCATGCAACACAAGCGACCTTTTGGTGGTAAACAACTACTCCTTTAAGGAGGACAGAGAAGTGAAGAAGAAACAAACAAACAAGCGATGCTGCAGCTGCTCTCCTGCAACTCCTTTTCTTATCTGCTAAGACACCAAAGATAGGAAAACCCTACAGACCGGCTAGACCGGTGGGTCCAGGCTGTGCGTACACCTCAGAAACCTCATGCCATAATCCCGTACAAACCATAAATAGCAATATCCATACAAATAACCAGTGTAAGAACACTAGCGGCGGCAGCAACAGCAGCAGCAGCAGCAGTCGCAGCAGCAACCGCAGTGGCAGCCGCAACGGCAGCGGCAGCCGCAGTGCCAGCAGGACCGGCGGCAGCTTCCGCTGGTTCGTATTGAAATATTGTTGCCGGTGGCCCTAATTATCCATATTAAAATACATATATTTTAAATAATAATTTAAATTATTTAGTAACACATCAAACAAATCCAAAAAACCCCTGAAGGCGCCGCTGCAGCAGCAGGCAGGCAGGCGCCCACAGGTCACTTCCCCGGTGTGCGCGAGCAGCAGCAAGGCAGCGGGGTGTATACGCAACAGCAGTCTTTAGTAAAATGAAATAAATAATTATAATAAAGAATAATACATTAAAAACATTAGGGAGATAGAAGCTGCATGCATGCAGCAGCCTACAAAAAGAGCAGGAGATGAGCCCGGCTCTTGCCAAACACGCCATATACCTGCTCTCTGCTCCCTCTCAGTTACTGTTGCTATTATTAACTTTACACTTTAATGTATTTCCTATTCTAGATCTAACAATAAAAAGAGGGAAAAAGCTATTTCTTGCCCCTCCTGCCCCTGATGCGCTCTCTTGCGCGTTCTAACAGGCAGCGAACCCATTTATGATTGGCATTCATTTCTTAGTATATGTTGCTGCCGCTGCAAAGGAGAAAAAAAGAAGAAAGAAGGGGATTTATATAACAAATACCTTTCTTTCTTTGTTTTTACATATAATAATAATAATAATAATTTATTTATCCTAAGACAGCTGCAGCACGAAAAGGAATGGAGAGAGGAGGGCAAGAAACCCTTCTTCTGTCAACCCAAGCAGCACTCCCTTACTCCTAGCTAGCCAGTGGTACAGATAGTTAGTGTGGCTAGCTTATGCTGCACCAGCCCCCCATGGCTAGCTGGTGCTGCAGCAAGTACTGGCGGAGAACTGTCCCCTCAGCTAACCCCGTTGGGTAGGTGTAATAGGTGCCACAGCTAGCTGCTAGCTAGCTGCCCCTTGGCTACCTAGCGCTGCAGCTAGCTGCTATGTATGGAGGTAATTGTTCATCTATAGTCTTACTCCCTTGATATAGAGACTGTCTCTCTTGTACTGTTGTCTACCTGTCTCCTTTTCTGCTGCCTCTGCTGCGCTGCACTGCACTAAGGAGACACTTCTTCCCCATGCAGCTGTCTCCTTAGCAGCAATAAAATAATCAATAAAAAACATAATAATAATAAACAAGTATAAGAAGAAAAATGTTATAAATAAGAAGAGAAATATACACAGAGGCAAAGACAAAAAAAAAGGATTATGTTGTCTCCTGTCTCTCCTTCTCCTTTATTAAATAAAATATAATTAAATAAAATATAATTAAATAAAATATAATTAAATAAAATATAATTAATAATATAAAAATGTATAATAAGTATAATACAAAGGACATATGTACGGGCATATATACTCAATATGCTATATACATTATATATATA